TTGCAGACCTGACAAAAAAAATACTGATAATTTTGATTCATTCACACTGGTTGGCTATTGTGTTAGCTGTTGTAATTTTTTTATTTGACAATCTAGGGAAAATAGGTCAGTGCCCCTGTCAGGTATTGCATTAAAAAAAAAAAAATTCCTGTGGCACACCAGTTGAAAATTCACTGCATTAAAGGACTGATATAATTATTTTAAGAGGCTGTTGCTAATTAACCTAGGATTAAGGAGATTGAAACTAGTACTTAAAAGAATGCAGGCTCTGTCTAATGGCCTTTCTATAGCTTTCCATTGTTTACTGGATAAAATTTAGTATTTTTGCTGAAAGCATTCAGTTCACCTCGTCTGTGAATACAGACACTGATATGGTCTACTGATCATAAAATAAAAATATCTAAATTCTTAAACTGATTTAACTACCTTTAAAAGGATTTTCCCTGTGGTAAATACAAGTAGAAAAAGTGACAACAGAGCAGTTCACCATTTGTTTCTGTTCTTAGCCTGATTTTTGTTTTTTAAATTCTTACTGGAGGTTATGATTTTTACTGATTTTAGACGGAGAAAAAAGAGAAAGAGAGACAGATCAACGTATGAGATTAACACTGATCAGTTGCCTCCTGTCCTCGCCTAGGTTCTGGATTGAACTGTCAACCTAGGTATGTGCCCTGACTGGGAATCGAACCAACAACCTTTCTGTGCACAGGAGGATGCTCCAACAGAGCCACCCTGGCCAGTGCTGCACCTGATTATTCTTATCAGGTCTTTTTTTTTTCTCTCTCTCTAAATGTGGGGCACGGCTACAGTGTTTGGACAGGTTGAAGCCTTGAACTAATGAGAGGGCACAGTCCTCTCATGGCCACGTGCAAGTCCCAGCTTGGAGGGCAGAGCCCTCCCAGCACAATTATAGTAAACAGCTATAGTTGTAAGCTTGAACCTATGGTCCAAACACGTGGCCCCACGTGCCTGAGTGATGTGGGCTTGATAGAGTTCAGGTGCATGCAGTTGAGTAGATTTGAAACTCAGAAGAATGTTGTAAACATCTTGACCACGCCCTTACTTTGCCTCCTGGGATCTGGCTATAAAATAAAGACAGGGCTTGTAGTTCCTGGCACTGTCTCTCTCCATCAGAGAGGGCAGTGTCCCACCCAGACCCAGTTTTCTTCTCTTGTCTGTCTTTTCTCCATCCTTCACCACCCCCTCTCAGGGTCACTGAACCTGGCTGAGCTGGTGCGGCACATAAGGAGCCCTGGGGCTGAGTATGCCATGGCCGTGCCAGCCTGCCACGTCTAAAAATTACTATAAAAGTTTTGCTGTTACTGTTTGTTTCATGTGTGATTAGTGTAAATTTTTAAAGATCATGGCACACTGTCTCACATGAAAATTGGTCAATCTGGCAGTCACTCAAACATTAAATGGATCCCTATTGATTTTCCCTCAGCTCTTTGTGAGGACTAGAAAAACCAGAGTATCATAAAACAGTTGGCGTCTTGTTATAAAATCCTCTCCTTTTATAGCAATAGAAGTGCTATACTATCTCTCACTTTGATTTATTAAACACCAACATTAACATGAAATAGTATTAAAAAGCATATGTTGGTGATAAAAAAAAAGCTGAGATTTATGGTAGAAATGGAAGCTTTCTAAGTGACTCTACTTATGCTCCCTTAAAATAAGTTTTTATTTTGACTAGAGTCTCCACCCTTGTATACAGTGATTTTCATGAAAACAGAAAAGCCATTTTCATCTGTTTACGTTAAACTATGTTATATATCAATCAAATAAGCTAGGTTGGAATAGAGTAGACACTTTTAAGGTTTTGTGCATTGGATAAAGTTTAACATTATTTAGTTTCCTTGGAAAACTAAAAAAAACAGAAATCTGAAAAAAAACAAACAAACATGAAATTTTGAAATTTCAGGTTTTCCTCATCTGTTAAGGTTTCTGTGCTGCTTAGTGCCTCATCTCTGGTTACAGTTTTTAGAAACTACTTTTTGCTAATGTTGTCTTAACCTAAGACAATTGTTATCTATTGGTTGAGCAGTCAAATAAAATATTCATTTAGTCCTATTATGAGTCAACCCCTCTCAAATGTTAGGCCATTCAAATGTGCAGATGAAGATGTGAGGACTTAACAAATTTAAATGATTCACCTGTCTTCAAACCTAAGAAGCAACAGAATTGGTCTTTAAGACTTGCTATCTTAACAATGAATCCTTGATCTTTTCACTATATAACATGATGCGCCAGTTTCATAGAGCTCTCATAACCAAGTATATATTAAAAACTGTGTTGGCTTTTAAAAAGGATGTTTCTATTGCAGTTCCTGGGGGCTAGAAATCCAAGATCAAAGTGTCAGTAGAACTGGTTCTTTCTGCTGCAGACTGTGAGAGAATCTCTTCCATGCCCTTCTCCCAGCTGCTGGGAGTTTTCTGGGAATCATCATGTTTCTTGGCTTCTGCATCATCATTCAACTCACTGCTTTCATCTGGACATGGAATTCTCCCTGAGCTTGTTCTTCTATGTCCAGATTTCCTCCTTTTTAAAAATTCTAGTTATGTTAGATTAGGGCTGTTAAATAAAAATTGCACCAGGCAAGTGGAGGCAAAGGTTTTATTTGAAACTATTCCAAGAGGGGTCAAGACTAGTAATATTAGTAGAGAGATTGACCTCAACTCTGCTGAAATAAATGGCAAGATAATTTTAGGCTCCAGGGAAAGCCAGTAGAAAAAGTCTTAGAGGATGTTAGGAGGGAAGTTGCCTACCATGATTAGACCATCTATATTTGCTAACTGGTGCTGATTTTGTTGCCGGTGGAAGTGAGTTTCTTGTGGTTTCACAAGGAAAAGCATTTCCAGGGGCTCACATGAAGGATGGGATCTGGTGGTAATATTGATTTGCAATGCAAAATCAAAGAATGTCTCTCCAATGTCCCATCTCCATCTGTCCCGCCATGGAACCTCAGGGTCAGAAATAGTCAATGCCCAGAGATCCTGGGCCAAATTAAAGCTCAGTCCCCGTCCAGCATTTGGCGATCTTGGCTTGTGTTCTTGACTACAACTTGTTGCTTTGCTGCTGTACCCAGGCTCCCGCCTGGAGCCGGTGTGTGGGGTCTGCACAGCAGGCAGGGCCATGTGGATTCTAGGGCCACCTGGCTATGGAGAAAGAATAGGGAGAGTATAGGTCTGGAGCAAGAGAGGGAGAGTTTTGTTCTCCTGGAATTCTAACCAGGATCTTTTTCAAAATACCAATTAACCTCCCAAGATTTAGGGGGCTTGCAGTGGGGTCTACCCCCCTAGCAAAGGATCTTTTTCCTAGGTTAGGCTGACAGGCCTCTGTGGCGAGTACCTCCCCTGTGCCACTTCGACTTTACTAAGCATGTGTTTTTTAGAACTGTCCGGTTCTCCAGACATAGAAGCAGAAGGTATGAGTACTAACTATAATATGGTTGTGCACATAATTCTAGTTTAATTGATATCATAATGATTGTGGGACTAATATATTTTTTACTTACTTTGGAACCTGAATGTAAAATACAAACCTATCCTCTGAAGTTGAGATTATTCCATGGGCCAAACACAAGGGGTGGTTCAGCTCTTTCTACTCAGAAAATAGACTTGAATGTGTGGTCTCTACTGTGGAAACAATGTGAATGTTGAGGAGGAAAGAGAAATCTCTCCTCTATTCTTCTGGGTTTTTCTGGCTGGTCTAAGAAGTAAATCGGCATGTGACAGATTAACAAGAGTGAAACAAACTTAATTCCATGTTTACAGAGGTTGCCTAAGAATATAAGGCCCATAGACAGTCAGACAATCAAGGCATCCATGTCATTGTGAGTTAAGGAGAAGAGAGTAGTGGTCTGGGAGTTCAAAGTTGAGGAAACAATTTACAAGAAGATAGAGAAGCAAATGTTTGGTAGATAAATACTTGTTGGGCCATGAAGAGGCAAAGGGAAACTGAGGGGTATGTGAACTAATAGACCTTGCTAAATTGGCCCAGTCTACCTCACCTGGCTCATGTTCTTGGTGGTTATCTCTGGTAATAGTCTCCTTCTAGACCAGCCCTCTACCTAAATTCTTTTAGGCAGTTAAGGGGGAAGTAAAAGCTCTTTCTGACTCTTTCAGCCTCAAATATCTTCAGCTCAAAATAATCTCTATGTCAAAGTGGCGCATTCTGAGGAGACACATTCTGAACCCCTATATGATATACTCCCTTGAAAGTGGTGGTTTCAATATTTCATGGAAGCTAGTTCCACTGAGGTGGTAAAAAGATGTTGATGGACATATGGAGATGTGCTGAAAACTAGAAATAGACAAAGCAAAGTTGTACAACTCCTAAAGTCTCAAGAAGTTAATCCTGTATTTTCCTGGATGTTGAAAGCAGAAAATAGCATTACAGACACAAATCAAGTTATATGTCTGGCATTTTAAAAAAATAATAAAGGTATTTTTCCATAAAATTCAACATTTTATAGTGAAATTCATGAAATATTAAAATATTCAAATGAATACTGAAGAAAAATCATCTTAGTATCAGTGAAGAGGCTCATAAAATCATGTAAAATAAACACACGAGAAACAAATACACTATTTTTCATTATCTCCACACACTGAAATTCAAAATTTTGCTTAACATACTGAACTCTTAAACATTTATTCTATTAATATTTATAGTGCTTTTGTCACCTCTTCTCATGTTTATTCTAAAAATTATTTGTTAGAAATCATCAAATGTATGGCCTTACATAACTTATTCTCCACTATAACAGCAGCAAATATTTATTGAATGCTTATTATGTAAAAGGCATCAGTGAAAAGCCTTTCCCAGTAATATAATCGTTCCTGTTATATATATAGATATATATATATATATATATATATACTTATATATATATATAAATTATTATAAATGATGAAATTGACACATGCAGAATTTGAATGTCTTTCTTAAGGTCAAACTTCACGTGAAGGCCGGCCTTCGAGCGACAGCGACGCAAGATGGCAGCCAGCACGGGCCCGGGAGTAAAAGTCCCTCGCCATTTTAAACTGTTGGAAGAACTGGAAGAAGGCCAAAAAGGAGGAGCTGGCACAATTAGTTGGGGTTTAGAAGATGACGGAGACATGACACTTACAAGATGGATAGCGCTGATAATTGGGCCTCCAAGAACAGTTTATGAAGACCGAATATACAACCTTAAAATAGAATGTGGACCTAACTACCCTGAAGTACCCCCCGTTGTAAGATTTGTAACAAAAATTAATATGGATGGAGTTAATAGTTCCAATGGAGTGGTGGACCCAAAGGCCGTATTAGTGCTAGAGAAGTGGAACCGTGCATATAGTATCAAACATGTCCTGCACGAGCTTCAGCATCTAATGATGACGAGTGAAAATGTATCACTCCCTCAGCCTCCTGAAGGGCAGTGTTACAGCAACTAACCAAAAAGAAAACCACAGGCCCGCCCCTCCCCCATTCGATTTAAGCAGTCTTCATTTTCCACAGTAGTAACCTTTCTAGATACGTCTTGTAGACATCAGAGTACTGGAAAGGAAGCTCCTATCCAAAGGCAGTTTATCTTAGGATACCATAAGTGATAGTAATTTGTTGTCCGTTTGAAATATATAAATTGTGCTATAATAAATCATCCCGTCAAGTATAACCACTGTCCACATAGTTGAACTTCTGGGATCAAGAAAGTAGATTTAAATTGATTCCCATCATAACTGGTGGGGCACATCTAACTCAACTGTGAAAAGACACATCACACAATCACCTTGCTGCTGATTACATGGCCTGGGGGCTCTGCCTTCTCCCTGCCCTGCCCCCACCCCCTTCCTCCCTGCAACAGCCCTCCAGCTTGGGGTGGCTTGTTAGAGTCAATGTGAAGGTTTCAGGTCACAGCCTGTAGGACTATTGCTGGGTGTGTGTGGGTGCTTTGCACCCTTGGATTCTTAAGTCTTAAATGATGCCCCTCCCCCTTCCAAGCCATCATCCTTTTCCTATTCTCTCCTACCACCCTTGGCCGAAGCATAGATTGTAACCCCCTCTGCTCCCCTCCGAAATTGGCCTTTGGTGAGGAATTCGGGGCCTTCCCACCACCTATGTATCGAGGGGTGCCGCTTCCTCCTTCCTCTTCTTCAGGTCCCTTTCTTGCACCATCACCACCCAACACTTTCCATGACAATCCCTTGCTTTGGCCAGAAGCCCTCGGGTAAGGTTGGAAAGAGTCTCTGACCTCCCTCATTTAGTTTTGGAACCACATTCATTTATTCTCCAGCAGCCCAGGAAATGAAAATTGGGTCCGCAGCCCTGCTGAGCTCTGATGTCATCAGCTGATATGTTTGTGTTTTAAGCTCAGGAAGGCCACAGAAGACACTTGTAATCACATATGATCCCTCTGAATGATTTTTGTTGTTGTTCCTATCATTGCTTTTGCTTTTACAAATTAAAGTTTTAAACAGAGCTCTCATTTGGTCATCTTTGCAATCCATTTGGGTCTAGTTTGGAATTTGACAACTGGAACAAAAAGAAGCTTGAATTCAGGGCATATTTTGGTTTTGGTGCTGCAGCTTCTCATGGTCCTCAGCAAGGATTAAGAAAGAACTCGATGTGCACGGCAGAACCCCAAAATTGGCGGGCTTGACTTCCTGGCTAATGGCTGTGTTTTTCCACTTTTCTGTTCAGGACCACTAATTGCTGAGATGTGGATGCATACCGAAATAAAGTGATTCATTGTGTTATAAAGGATTTTTTTTTCTTTTGTAATTTAGTATTTGTGTAAAACCACCTTTCGAAGCAGCAACTATCAAGTCTGAAAAGCAATTGATGTTTCCATTAATCTTTCTGGGGAAAACCTTAGTTGTAAGGATTTAACATCCTGTGAGACAAGTTTAACATGACAGTATTCCATAAGCAGCCTTTCTATTGTCAGACCATTGCCTGATTTTAATATAATTTTAAAAAGAGTGTGTTAATATTTAAAAAACAAAAAAAGACCAAAAAAATCTTCTAGTTAATGTCATTTGCTAGATTCACATCCAGGTGACCTGTTTTATTATGGCAGGGGTCCTTAAACATTACGCATGAGGATATTCACACTCTAACACACTCATATCCATCGTACAGATTTTGAAAAACGCAGCACACAATTTCAGACAAGGAGCGCACCACAGATGATCTTAATCTTGATTCTTAATATTATGTCACCTCATTATGGGCTGTGAAAAAACAGGACAGCTGAGAGGCGATGTGTAATTATGAGCTCACTACCTGCAGCTCTATAGCGTTCCCTAAAACAGGGACAGTATATATAATAGCACAATGCTAGTATAATAGAAGTACATGAAGGAGAAAGTATTAAAGAGTTAATCAAACATCACCTGCAAGTTATATTGAAATGTTTTGTGTGTGTGTTTTTTTGCTTGCTGCACTATACAGGACATATTCTGATCTTAGTGCCCCTGACTTCCCCACTCTACATAAATTCATCAGTGAGGTTGACTGTTACTCCTCTTGGCTTTTTTTTCTAGATATAACCAGAGTGGAGCAGCAGACAGCTCTAGGAGGGAATGACAATGGGTAAGTCTGGATATTTATCTCCTTGACTCACTGCCTGTGGGGTTACAGCTACAGGTCAATTACTGCCCAGATCCAACACAACTTCTGTCAGCCAGTCGTTCTGATGCAGTTTATCAGTGTGTTCCAGTCGTGGCTCCCCTATGTGTTTCTCAAGAGGTAGCAGTATTAACAGAGTCCCGCTTTCGCTAACCCCAAACCCCTGTGTTATCATTTGTACTTTTTATACCCTATCTCTCTTCAACTCTCCCTCTATTAACAATCCCCAAATTTTAAAATGTGTATGCACCATCTATTTCCTGCAGGGACCCATGCTATAATTGAAAATAACTTTATTATGAAATCAATTTCATTTTCTGTAGCCATATTTTTAAAGCATTGTTTACTCTGGTCCAATGTTATCTAAAATTGTGAATTTTCTTTATTCCAATGTGTAATAGGTCAGATTATTATCCAGTGAATAGTTACTCTTCTTATCCATCACAAAAATATTCCTTTGGGCAGTGTGTACCTCCGTGACTAGTGTATAGCCCACTATTTGGGCTTCACCACACAATAAGATTCAGCCAATGAAGTATCAGCAGGTGTGATAAATGCAGAGCTTTTAAATGTTCCTGTGGGTTTACGTATTCTCCTGTGCTCCTGCTCTTCATGATGCTAAGTAAATGTTGTGGGTAGATGCTGCTCCCAAAAGAATGAGGAGATGTGTGGTGCATGCCTGGGCCCAATTCATGAGGTCTGGAGAGAGTTATAAGAAGGAAGACATACAATGGGATTAGCATAATGACTCTAATACACTTAAGACTTAGTACGTTTTAGTTATACTTATCATCACCTGATTTGGACATTTGCTTCTATAACTATATTTTTACTTAATTGTCCCTTTTAGCATGTGATGAAAGGCAACTTCAAAGTCACATTTAAATCTTGCTAAAATTGCACAAGTATAATCTATAATTATTACTTTTAATAGGTTGCAAAGTCAGCATATCTCACATATATTATATATTATTAACACATTGCAGACCAGTAGCTTTATTGCTAGCTTTACCCAGTGGCCAGCTAAGTTTCTATTGAACGAGTACAAAAAACGTTTTACATAAATGTTAAAGACACCCTTTAAAATTAAATATGCATTCCATTTTGAAGTTACTTATTACAGGTTCTTACAAGCTAATATCTTTTTAAAGTATAATACTTTGTAAAACACTGTGTAATATGAAGTGAGAATTCTTATGATCTGTCCTCAATTTAAGATGTTTGCCTATGCTTCAAAGATTTCAATGGTAAATACATATTAATTTCCTCATGAACTCATGCATTCCAGTGATGTTCAAACTGAAACAAATAACTAATTACCTTAGATATTGAGGTCATTTGAATACTCTATAGTTTATATAAAATTTCAAAATGTTATATGCATTTCCTCCTATTTGGTTTAGTAATTTAAAATGTTTATGTGTGGGCATTTATTATGTTTGTGCTTATTTCTATACTAGGGTTTAATCTATAAAGAAGACTAGAAAATGGTCTCTGCTTTCAGGAAGCATCCAATCTATTCTGGAATTGAGTAGATATTTACAATTCATTGTAACAGATAGGAATCTGTTAATAAATCATCAATAAATGCATATGAGCTGTGGAAGCACAGAGGAATGCATTAATCCCTTAATATTGGCACAATCTGATATGAATGGCACATATTGTTCTTGCTACACTCAATTTCACAATGCTTATTTATACCTGCTCTAAAAAACTACATTACATCATTAAATTGTATCACCTTTGCAACTTCTCAATTTTCCTTAATAGAGTTCTTATATTCTAAATTATAGTAAAAATGGTGCAGTTAGCTTTGAAATACCCAGTAAGTATGTAGAGCAATTACAATCCCTAATTATTTGCACTCTCCAATCCTGGTCTTGAATTTTAGTGGAATAAGGGTATTCTCACCTATCTAGGATTAATATCTATTCATTTTATGGTTCTTAGCCTTTTCTTTGTATTTCTTTATAGAACTTATATACATTTCTTCAAGTATTCATTGAATGCTACTACTGTGTTAGACAATGAAAATATAAAACTTTAAAGGCTAGATATGGTAGATATGGCCTTCTCATAACACAGTTTATATATATATATATATATAATTTGATTATATTAGTGAAAATGATTAGATTATATTAGTGAAAATGACTAGAAACAATTATGACATTTTTTTTCTGCCAGTTTACTTTTCACATTTCTTTATCCCACCTTCATTGTATGTATGATTTCATTTATTCATTATACAAATATGTTCAAGTCTTTTCTGTCATAAGCAAACTGCCCATTTATCTCAAAGGAAAAGAAATGACACTTCTTAGCTACTTCCCTGTCCCTGTGTTTCCCTTCAAACTACCCTCCAGCCTTGCTGACTCTTTAGATCAATCTTCAATGCCTAATTCATTTGACCTTCCTTTTCTCCAACACTCCCTGGAAACTGATCTTACTAAAGCAACCCACCACCAATGATTTTTTTCTCAGTTTGGGAGCACTGAATTTTTAAGACTTAGGCTATATAAAAATCACAGAATACTAATATTAGACACCACTCTATCCTTGTGTTTCTGACTCCAGAAACCTTAGTACATGAGGGGAAAATATAATAAAGATAGCTCCAATCAGCTGTGAATCATATTAAAAATTAAATTACTTGTAAAATTGCAGTAGAAAGACAATGGATTATGGGGGGAAATGTCAAATATTCAAAAACACTTTGTGGAATTATATAAATCTTTTTTTTTTCAAATTCTACTTTGGCTATCATCATAATTTAAAACATTTACTATTAATTTCTAGAAATAATTGTTCATGGGGTATG